CGGTGACCCATTTTAATCGCCGCAGCCGGATTACTCGGAACCTAAGCCAGATAGGGCAAAATGGTTATGACAAAAGTTGTAGAGAGCAAAGAGGGCAACACAATAGGGCTAACGCTTTTGACCTTGCACTTCTACTTCAAGGTTATTTCAAGGTCAAAGTATTTTTTTTAAGTAGGAACCTCTATTTTTGACATCGGATTCGGAAAAAGCGGGAAATTTTACGTCAAAATGGTGTTTTTTCAAAAGGGAATTTCAAGGTCAAATGCTATAAAATCCTATGATTGCTATTTGCTAGCCTTTTCTCATGAATAGTAACCCCAATATTACTACGAGCTTGAAATTGTTCACTTTGAAAAGATTTTCCTTACTTTTAGCGTTACCCAGAAACAACGACGTGGACGTAGTAAGGTTTATTTCCTTTAGGATGCTTGTTTCACGTGAGTCCCCTTGCCTCTCGCGATGGGGTGCTTGTTTCACGTGAGTCCCCTTGCCTCTCACTAACCTTGAAGCAAGTGTTCGAAATGACGACCATTTGCTTCAAGACACATTGTCAAACGCTTTTGAAAATGGCGACCGGTGTTCAACAAAGCTTGCCTCGGAATAGCAGCGCATGCTCGACGAATCCTGTCCTGTATATCTGCTCTTGTAGTGGGTTGTTGCCCAAATACAGCATTTTTTAAGTACCCCCATAAATAAAAATCTGGTGATGTAAGATCGGGTGAGCAAGCAGGTCAGTTAATAGGACCTCCTCGCCCAATCCATCTGATACCATTGTGTTCATTCAAAAAAGCCCTCACGATTCGAGCAAAATGTGGTGTTACGCCATCCGAAAACGTTGAACTTCTGCACTGAACGTTGAACTTGAGCACGTTATAATATTTTTTTTTTGCAAATTCAAAATATAGATTTTGAAGAGAAGATCGTATAGTTTCCGTAACAATTCTCAAAATTGAAATAACACTGTCTAATTTTAATGGAGAATTGTCCGAAATTTTCGCCTTAATTTGTTTAAACCTTAATTACGCGGAAACCAAACGTTGCACATAATCAGGGTTTAGCGCACTCAAAAGTACACATATCCAGCTACTATAGTTTCAAATCTCAGCTCTTTAAGTTCCAAATTAACGGAGATATAAATTTTATAAAAAAAATGAAAATTTCCCCGTTTTTTCAAATTTTTTCAGCTTCCATATAAAGTTAGAAAGTCACGCGACAGCTCACTGTCTTCGTTATTCTATTACCTACAACTTTCGTATTGATACCGTAATCGTTGCTAGATTATTTTCGGAGATATACCGAAAAAAACAAAAATAAAAGTCATTTTTAGCATATATTTGTTAATAAACAAATGATCTGACAATATTTCAGAATTTTAAAATCTGCCAACTTAAAGGGCGCAAAATTATCTGGACGATGGCACTAGTGGTTACCTATTATATTTTGCATCAGAAAGCCCTTTTACTGAGAGCTAGGTTGCTTGACCTAATTAAGACAGAGTTCAGCTACTCTTGAGTGAATATACTGTAACGGGGGAGGTTATCTGAAAAATGGAAAATTTATTTAAGAACAAACTCCCACGATGCAGAGCAAACCGTCGCTCCGGTAAACACGTATGATAATACGTGTATTCGCCTTAACGTCAGATGATTTATCCTAGTTGTCTTCTATTAAACGGAGTTGAACTCACCTTAAGTCATGTGTCTTGTGACAATCGTTGAGTTTTAAGTGTGAGCGACTTTACTCCTAATCTTCTTAATCCACTAGATGTAATCGGATTAAAACCTAAGCCTTTTTCAATTACTTAAGCTACTAGGAAAATTAAATGACGAAAATAGCGAATAAATTTAACAGACTTTAATTAATAAAAATCACTAGTCTTTTTAGGGCCGAAAGACTAACGCACGCGAATAGGATTTTACAATTAGTTATATTCGGTGAGAAAGAGAGAGAGAGAGAGAGAGAGAGAGAGAGAGAGAGAGAGTAGATTCGAATTCTACCGGGAACTAACGCTCGACGCGAATACAAAAATTAACGCTGACACGATTAAACAAAATACCGAATGTATTTTGTATCGTATATAATGACGGAAGGTGCACCTACCATGCAGTGCAATTACGGTGATCAGCCGTAATTGTTGTTGCAAAAAATATCAACTGCCGCAGCCCCTCGATTATCAGATTATCAGCTGGGCTGCCTTGTACTGCCTCTATCAGTTGTAATCTGCTGCTTCTGTTTCGCTGCTTGCTGCTGTAATTTCGTCGTTGCACACCCGCACGTATTTGTCACAGAGAAACTTTATTTTTGGCGAAACAAAGTGCAAAACACTATTCGGCGGTAAACTCGCGTGAACAGCTGAGGCATAACTAACTATTCAAAAGATCGCGCGCCCCCTCTCTCTCTTAACTGTTAGAACTAACGCGCGAGAAGCAGAATCGCGAACGGTTCGATTAATTAAATCGACTACCGTTGCAATACTCAAAAAATTTTAAACAGCCCTAAAGGAAACAACTGTTTATGAATCTACTTGTAAATGTCTACTTGTTTATTCACCAATTCCCTTTTTCTGTAGAATTTTATGCTGTTTGTCAAAGAAAAAATGATGATTTTTGCTATTTGTAAGATTTATCTGATTCCTTCCGGCATATCCTCATTAATTATTAACGTGTATAAATATTATCGGCGGAAGAACGATTTAAGGTATGTTGAAATCGAAGAGTTCAACTTGTCTTTCTTCACCAATTATCCACATGATATACGTAACTGTTGAGATATTCATTCGAGATTAGGTTCTCAATTTCATATTAATTATTTATATTTAATAAACCAAATAAAATTTCAGAGGTGTGTCAATTATTATTGAATTATTATTATTAAAAATTGTTATTGAAGAAGTGTATTATTATCCAAAGTTGAAGAAGATTAAAATGTAATATATACAATGATTGTGAATATAAAATATAGTGGCTTAATTGATATTTTACAGTATGAATAAATAAAATATACAGTAGTGCTCAAAATTGTAAGGCACCCCTGATTTCGCTTTACAATTTTAATTAGGATTTTTAAGCTTCACAGAGCCTTGGAGGTTTGAATTTTCTAGTAGTCATTCCCATTATTTTTTTTGAACCAAAATTGGTGTTTTTCTAAACAAAAAACGTCAATCCGATGCAAGTTTGATCCACTATAAAATTATCATGCAGATTTGAATTTAAAAAGTAATATTTTTTTAAACAATGAAATATCGTCGATTTCGTTGCACTTAAAATACACTACAAATGTTGTATCAGTATATGACGGCATGATTTTTTTTCCTCATATTTCTTCAACTTTCAGCTTCAACTGATGAAAATTTCAAATGGCTATGTATAAAATTGTTTAAACCACACAAAAATAACGTCTAATTTTCATATTTGAAAATCACTAATTTTATTGGATTTAAGGCCAATTTTTTTCAAATACCCCAGTCATTTTTAAATTTACTGTACACAAATTGCAGGAAAATACATTTTCTATTCGTTTTAAACCAATTGGTTTTGAAACAAAAATATTACAGATATTTCAAAATTTTCTTTACGATTTACAGAGGTTAGTAGAGGTTTGGGAGTCGAGACACGAGACTTCAAATTCTTTTCAAGCAAAGGCCTGTCGACTGTTAGTCTGGATATTTTAACCTTTAATTCTAGATCTAATTAATTTTTAATACTATTTGCTGTTATAGTACGATTTTGTTTGGCTTTTTAAATGATAATTCTACCAATTCAAGAAATTGTTACGCGCGATCTTCCTGTATTTTTCTTATTTCTCACCGTCTTACTTTTGTGGTAAGCTATAATACTATTTTGTACACAACATCTACTTACGTTCAATAATTTAGATATTTCAGTCTGGTTCTTATTTGCTTTGAACAAACCGATAATTTGCCATTTTTTTGTTTCGGGCACTGCTTTCCTCCCCATAATTATTTTTTGAATAAAACCTACAAATTCATTAATTGCGTTGACAAAAAAAATAATAGACGAACATAGAATACAATATGTCACACTTACCTAAATTTTTTATCGTACGAAATAAACAAGCTATGTAACAATATCAGAATTATTGTTATAAAAATGACCTCACTTTTGCGGAAAGATGAAGCACGACGTGATCTACAAGGATCTGAAGGTAGCATTCTATGACGTTTCCTCTTTAAATACCCAAGGATTACAAAAATTTCATAAATATGTAAATAAAATTTTGGAATATCTATAATATTTTTGTTTCAAAACCAATTGGTTTAAAACGAATAGAAAATGTATTTTTCTGCAATTTGTGTGTAGGAAATTAAAAAATGACTGGGGTATTTGGAAAAAATTGGCCTTAAATCCAATAAAATTAGTGATTTTTAAATATGAAAATGAGACGTTATTTTTGTGTGGTTTGAACAATTTTATACATAGCCATTTGAAATTTTCATCAGTTGAAGCTGAAAGTTGAAGAAATATGAGGAAAAAAAATCATGCCGTCATATACTGATACAACATTTGTAGTGTATTTTAAGTGCAACGAAATCAAAGATTCTTCATTGTTTCAAAAAATATTACTTTTTAAATTTAAATCTACATGAACATTTTGTAGTGAATTAAACCTACATAGGTTTGACATTTTTTTGTTTAGAAAAACACCAATTTTGATTAAAAAAAAATATTAAGAATAACTACTAGAAAATTCAAATCTTCAAGGCTCTGTAAAGCTTAAAAATCCTAAATAAAATAAAGCAAAATCAGGGGTACCTTATAATTTTGAGTACTACTGTATAGTAAAAATGACACTTTTTACGAATATTTTACTCTAACAATAGCGATGCATATCACTATATTTTCAGTTATCGATTGAGCAAGAAGCTTTTATCTACTTAGCAGTGACAAAAATCTTTTTATCAAATAATTTCTTTCACTTATTCATAAATTACAATTTCAATAATTACAATTTATTCAATTTAGTTCGTTTAAATATTATAGGAAGATGGAAAATGGATGTTTACTAGTGGAGAAGATTGTTCGGCAAGAATATGGGATTTAAGGTATGCTTCGTAATCATTATTATCTATTTTCAATTATAAATGGAGTGGCAGGAGATTCGCCGCTGCTATTATGTATACTCCTGGTCAAAAGTCTTTGCCCATCCAAACATAAAATTACTAAAATTTCTAAGTTTTATATCTGAGTTAGAAATCAATTTACAGAGTTGAGCGGGGGCTCATTTGAGAGATCTTTTTAAATTTTTAAAAAATATTTATATCACAATGATGTTAAATAATTTTTCCTTAATCCTATCATAAAAAAAGAATTTTTTTTTTCAAAAATGTTTGCTCATCTTCAAGTACTTACCGTTTTGCGAAAAACATTATAACGAGTGAAATTGTAAACTCGTTATATCTCTCTCTCTCCCTAGTAACGATATGTAAATATGACACAATCTTCCGAACTTATCTTACGTCATTATGAATTTATTATGTTTGTATCCATTTATTATCTATGTCTGCGTATGTAATTATCCTTCTGTATGGATGTAAGGTAAGTGAGACAAGAGAGAGATGCGAATACGCGGGACACTTCCGTGCGCGACCGCGAGGCGCGGAGAGAGAGAGAGAGACTTAGTCGCGCTTTAGCGAGTGACCGCGCGCACTGATTGACTCACTAAAGAGAACGAAATCGAGAGTCGAGCAGGCGACACGCTAGAGAGTTACTGTTGTGCGGACTTGTGAGCCAGCGGATAGATTTCTTTGTCTCGACGACTTTCCTTGCTGAGACCACGGTTGTGACCCAGCGGTTCCCTTTTCTTCTTCGATCCTTGAGCTTATGCCTTTGTCCAGAGGAGGATCGCGACGTCGCCTGGCCCCGTAGAGGATCCACGCTCGTGAATCGTAGCTGGTAGAGCAGGACTTCGTTAGAAGAAGCCGAGCCGCAGAGTGCACGTGGTGCCCTGTAATTTGTGCGTGCGCGTTGACACAAACCGTGCGACTAGGCTGCATATCTAGAGGACGAGCACCGTCATTGTAAGTACCGGCTTGTTGGTTTACTCTCTCTCCCTATTCACTCTCTCAGCGTACTCTCTCCTTCCTTCCGACCGCTCATGTCAACTCTTATTGATTAAAATACCTTTTACCGTAAGTTCCTTTCTTTTATTTAACCGTGTCCCGTCGCCTTTTTCGAACGTACCGCTTTTTCACGTCTACGCCCGCTTTTGAACCTTCGATTTTTGCGTTCATTAGCTAACACTACGAATCTGCGCGGATCCGGCTGTCCCATCACCGGCGTGACGAGTACCAAACCTGAGAAGACGGACAGTCCAGGAGGCTCCAGACTTCGCTCGGACATTCCTCATTTATCATTCATTTACTATTTCTTTATTTTTTTATATTGACGGGGTAAACCGGGTTAAATCCCCGTTATAACATCATAGAAAAATTAAAAAAAAGATTTTGTAGCTTTTTTAAAGCACTTTCATAATTATTGCTGCAAATTTTTTTTATACAAATTCATGTTCTATGCATTTTTTTCAAAACAATGTTAAATTTCAACTCTTCGTATCATTGAGCATTTGAATGGAACAAAAATGTTTATTTAAAAAAAATACTTTGTTTTGTACAGAAAGAATGTAGAAATTTTTTAAGAAATTAAAAAAAATTTTTTTGCCGTTTGTTTTTTTAACTGATATTGGTGTATCGCGAAAATGCATACTAAACCAATCAGCAAAGTTAAGCAGCATCGAGCACGGCTAGTACTTGAATAGATGACTATTTCACTGTATATAAAAAAATAATATTAAATGTAAAAGAATAAGGAAAATAAATCAATTAAACAAAAATTGATGAGAAAAAGTCGAAATGGCACAAAAGCCCCATTTTATTGATGAACAAAAAGAAGAAAAACTAATAAAAAAGAAGAAAAAAAAAGAAAGGCAATGCTAACAAGTGACGCGTACAATGTAGCAGATCGTTGCGATGTTGCGTATTGCGTAAATCATGCACTCACTATACAAACAGTACGATCGTGACGCAATGCATGCGTGGAACACACCCTTGATTGAGTGGGAAACGTGTTGCATTCAATATGCGCGACCACGTAAGAATAAGAAACCGATCACTCCCCTACAGCACACAGCATGCAAACACATATGTGCAGTTTGTGGGCGCACCGCAGTGGAGATCGCCGTAAATGTAGTTGAGTTATCTCGAAAGGACAACTCTGGCTTTGTGCAGCCGAAGACGATGGTGATAATCAGAGGAGGTTGACTCGAGTTTATGTGATTGCAATAGCCAATAATGCGTTACACATGGCTGCTATAGCCAATGAAATGCAACAGATGTCCATATACACACACACGCGTGAGAGACAAGCACAGACACACAGCATTTTGCACAATCGCAAACACGACACACACAAAAATGACGGCACGCCACTTACGCACGCATAACACAAGAACGACAACAAGAAGCACACTATAGAGAAACTATTGATGAAAATGTCTGCTCTGTTACTGACTGAAAAGGTTGCGCCATACCTTTTCTAGAAAAAAGAAAGAAAACATGGGTGGTTTTCTATGTGATGTTACAGCTAGAAACTGTAAGCAGTATCTGACAAGTTTTACAGGAATGCATGAAATGATTGGAATTGGCATCCGTCAGTGCTGCCAACCACTCTCGTGCAAATTCGCCAAACTCAGTCGATAAGCTGGACAACGGAATAGCTTGTTTTTACAGGTAACAAAGTGAATGAGAGATATCGGGTATGTAGTTTCGGTGTTTACACAATGTGTCAACTCTATTCTTGTCTTAATACATATAAATACAATATTTTTAAACTTTCCTATTTATTTGTTTAATTTAAATTTAAAAAATATATGGAAAATTCTAATTTGCTTATTTTCACTTCCATTGCGACTACGACTTGTGTTGTATAAACATCGAAACTATACACCCCATAATTCCCACTCACTTTGTTACATGTAAAAACAAGCTTATCAATAAACAAAATCGTATCGTCGAAACCTACATCAGTCTCTACACGATCTCAGTAAAATCCAAGCAGTTAAAAGAGTGATTTGAAAATGAAAGTTGCTTCTGAACCTTTGTCCAAAAGCGCATAAGTGCGAGTTTGCTTGCCGTCCGGGATGTTCACCTGCGCGGTCACGAGGAATATTAAGCATTCATTACCCATAGCGTTCGTGTTGCTAGCGTTGACAGAATCCGCTTCTCTTGCCAATCTGCACGACGTACCATTACACTTGCAGCGGGCTCATCACTGGTTTGCTGTCCTTGACTGTCGTCCCCAAGGTACTACTCTCAACCGTGCCCGAATTACTACCCTTAGCCGCACCCGAAGTACCGTTCTTTGCTCCGCGGTAAAGCAGGGAGTGCTCCTTCAATTTGTGCCTGCCAAGACAATTGAAGCACAATCTCAACTATCACGCGTGGCTCTGATATTGAGAGAGGTAGAAACACCTTGTTTATAGTCAAACACGTATTGTAGAACCAAGCACATAGGGTTTGCCAAGTCGGCGCATAATTTATTCCCACAAGCGTGACGTCCTTTACCAATTTAGCTGTATGTCTTTCAAGAAAGACTTGAGGTATTGCTATTTAATAACGTCCTTGAGCCGCGGTACTTCGTGCACGAAAGAGATAAAGATATCTTTGAATCTATCCCAGTCTTCGTACTTTCTTGAGAAAGTATGCAAATCAAGTCGTGGCAGTTTTGCCGTCATATATCATCACAATCCTCGTCATCGCGCGCGCGTCGCGTTCCTCGAGGACTACGCTCCTCTTCATTCTGCGCCGTCGGTAGTTCGTCAATTATGGTCAGCAGCCAGTCAAGCGTTTCCTCGTGGATTCGATTCACAGCTTCGAACTCGTTTTATAAAATGTACGGATGAATTTCTGCATCGGCACGCAATAAACAATTTCATGGTGCGTTTTACGAAGCGCCTTCCAGCAATCTTCGAAGTTACGAATACGCGTTTGAAGGATGGTTTTTTTTGAGAGTGATGGAGTCGCGTTCGCGCATGCGCACATTGATTGCTTCGATTTCGTTGCTGCGATACCGCTGGAGCGTTATTAGTTGATTTAAAGATGCACGCATAATTATAATGAGCTTGGTTTAAGCAATACAAATATATCACCGCGTGGTGGACCTCGCTCGTAGCTACGCATACAAAGAATATAAATCTTCTTACACATAATTTATAAACAGCATAATATAATAGCTACGCATTATAAGTAAAATTTGAATCAATTGCAATATAATTATACACAAACTTGATACTGAAAGCCTGATTGATAGCTATATATCTACACAATCCTCATCCGGGGCATCATGTTTAGTTTTATCAAACTTATATGAAAGAATAATGCCAATGTAATATGTCTCACCTGGATTGAGTTTGTGATAAAATCATAATATTAGGGATTTCAGGTGATTGCGTGATATGTACAAATAAATAAGCAAGAATTGATGAGTAAAATGGTAAACTTTAATTAACTTAATAAATAAATTTAAGATTCAGCCAGCATAAAAAAACCTAGTTGTAAGTGGGGGTAAAACCATTTAAATAAAATGAAATACAAAAAAATTACAATAAAGTCGAAGTAAAATTACAATTAAATAAATGAAACATAAAGTACTATATGTAAAGGTACTTCAAATTGACAACATACAAAAATCAGTCTGAAACCACTGCATAACTCGCTTACTTATACTTGCATACCGCATAATTAGATTGAATGGCCATTTAAAATAGAGTCGCTAGCTTATCAGCTTGAGGTAGGCACAACACAAGAGATTGAGAAAGACGAAAACCTCTCCTGCACGATAACGCAACGCCAACCTAGCTTTAACGGGGACAATCCTCGCTAACGTTTCTGTTTAGAAGGATTCAACGGGGGAAGTGCAGCAAAGATTGAGATGCTCCAAAAGGAGTAGCGCTTCCTCTGTTAAGGGCACTTCTGCCCTTAGCCTTTTGTAAAAGCATTGCTGGTTGTTTTGAAAAGGTACACATCTACACACACACACACACGCACGC